AGGATGAGAGATGAGAGTTGGATGAGAGATGAGAGTTAGATGGGAGACAGAGGATGAGAGATGAGAGTTGGATGAGAGATGAGAGTTAGATGGGAGACAGAGGATGAGAGATGAGAGTTGGATGAGAGATGAGAGTTAGCGGACGACGGGGGGCAGGCGGACGACAGGTGGTAGATGGATAGATAGATGGTACCTGGAGGGTACATGGATGGTACATGGATGGTAGATGAGAGATAGATGGATGACACACGGAGGGATGATAGGTACACAGGTGGATGGTAGATGGATGGTAGGTAGGTGGGTGGATAGATGACAGATACACAGGTAATTTTTCCCTCTGGACCATTAGAGAGTAAGTTGCAGACATCATGCCCTTTTTTTTTTTTTTTTTCCTTTTTGTGTCTTTTTTACTGACCGGTAACAGGATCGCAACCCTCGGTGTCGCACCCGTACCGGGGGCCGGCAACGGGATCGCAACCCTCGGTGTTGCGCCCACACCGCGCTCAGCCAGTGAGCGGGAACCGGTCTCTACATGGGATCCGAACCCTCAGTGGGAGCACCGCCGCACTCCCAAGCGGAGCACTCTCCAGTGCACCACTGGGCCGGCCCGACATCATGCCCTTTTATCTCTCAAAACAAAGACCCTGTCTTCCAAATAGATTCAATAAACACGTCTAACACATGCTGGCAGTGAGCTCGGTTGGTGAGAGCACAGAATGAACACCAAGGACAAGGGTTTGGATCCCTACTCCTGCCAGCAGCCAAAAAGAAAGCCACATCCACTGCAGTGCGAGAGTTAGCGCGCGTTCTGCCTTCTCGTTTTGCCTGTCATCTCTGAGGCCGTTTCCTCCCAGCCAGGAGCCAGTCCAGGCCCCACGCTGCACCCTTTGCTGGTTCAGCAAGACACTCGCAGCCCTCTTTGTCTGTCACAACGCTGACAGTTTTGAGAGTCCAGGCCAGTGTTTTGTAGACTGTGGGTCTGCCACTGCGTCGTTGTCAGATTCAGGTTCTGCATTTATTTTGGGGTTTTCTACATAGTTCCCACAAGCCACCTGTTCCTGAGCCAGTCCTATCCTGCTTTAAGTACCACGGCTGTGTGATATATTATCACATCTCGTAGAGCAAGTTTGCCCTCATTTCTGCTCCTTTACGAAATTTTCTTGGCCATCCTTTCCCATTTATTCTTGATGGGATAGATATTATTTAATTATTTATTTTTATTATAAATATGTTAGACTTCTTTTTTTTTTTTTTTTAAAGATGACCGGTAAGGGGATCTCAACCCTTGGCTTGGTGTTGTCAGCACCACGCTCAGCCAGTGAGCGAACCGGCCATCCCTATATGGGATCCGAACCCGGGGCCTTGGTGTTATCAGCACCGCACTCTCCCGAGTGAGCCACGGGCCGGCCCCCTATAAATATGTTAGACTTCTAAGAAAATACAAAGACTAATATAACGAGCACCTGTGTGTGCAGCACCCACCTTAATCAACAAAATACCACAAAGTCAAAACCGTTGCGTGTTCTACCCAGCACCCCTGCCTCTCTGGACACCCCGTCTCTACTGCTTCTGTCCCTCTCTGCGGCGTCACAAGCCCGCCGCACCGTGCCTGGCTGTGCGTGCTTCTGCACACATGCTGTCGTTCACGTTACACTCTGGCACATCCGCCTTGACACATGTGGCTCTGGGTAAGGAGTGGGCACACCTTTCCTATAAAGAGCCAGAGAGTAAACTTTTTAGGCTTTAGGGGCTGCTCGGTCTCTGTCACAGCTTCTCAACTCCACATTCAGTGTGAAAAGCAGCCACGGGCCACATGTAAACAGACCGGCATGGGTGTGTCCCATTGAAACTTCACGGATGCGAAATTTTAATTTCACATCATTCTCACAGCATGAAATATAATCTTCTTTTGATTTTTTCAGCTGTTTAAAAATGTAAGAAACTATTCTTAGCTCATGGGAGGTACAAAAAAAGGTGATGGGCAGATTTGGCCTACGAGCTGTCGTTTGCTGACCCCGGTTTGTGTATTTTCTTTCTGTTTTATGAATATACCCAAATTTTTAATCCATTCTCTTATGATAGATGGGCAATTGGTTACCAGTTTTTTGCTATGAACATTATTATAAATATCCGCATGTACACGTGCATGGCAGCATCTCTAGGGAATGTGCCTAGATCAGAATCACCAGGTTCCAGGGTGCGCACATCTGCATCTTTCTCAGACCCTGCCAAAGGACGGTCTAGAGGCACTGTGCCCGTCTGCACCCTCACAAATAATGCATGAAGACCCTTGAAAGCTCGTCCATATGTAGGTCATGTTGAAGGTTTATAAAATATAGTCGTCTGTTTTTGCTGTTTTTAAAAATGTATTTAATATTAAATAATATTTTTTTTTAAAAATTATTAGACTAGTATAGCAGTTTTATTTTCACAGAAAAACAAGGCCAGCACCATGCAGCAGGCTCCCGCTGACACCACCTTGGCCGGAAGCTGTCGCCACAGGCCAGGGCCATGCGGGGGGCCGCCCTGACCCTGCAGGAGAGGTTGCAGCCTGCCCTCTCCCTGAAGGATGGGAGAGGTCCTTAGGCTGCCTTTAGGAAGCCTGCTGAGTGCATCCTGGCTGGTGGGAGCAGGCATGTCCTCGCTTTGGCCTGTCACCAAATGGAGTGAATCCCCAGAGCCGGAAAGTTAGAGAAAGTGTTTCTTTTTGATCTCATAGGAAAACTCATTGCCATACACCATCGACATCAACACCTGAATTCCTTTTATTTAAATTTCCATGACAGGGCCGTGAGAGTG